AATATTATCTTTATTTTAATATAAAAATAAAAAATATTTATTAATAAAATTAAAAACTTTTATATAAAGAGAAAAATTCGCATTTTATTATATTTAATTAATAAATTTTGATATTATTGCATTATTTCTGATTGTCACTATATATTTAATTAAAAATAAACAAGTTTAAGATTTAAATTTTATTACTTAAGATTTTAGATAGTTTTTTTTAGAAATTTTCAAGAATTATTATATAAGTTTTTATTTTAGCTGTTAATTTATATAGAATAGTACTTTATAAATAAGTTTAATTATGTCTTATTAATAAACTATTTAATTTTATATTATAATTTATTGAAGTTATATTACAGTTATCTGATATATTCTAGCTTATTATCAAAACAATAATAATTATTTATTTTTTGATATAAATCTAAAATTTTTTTATCTTAAATTTAGTAGAATTACATGAATAACATATAAATATTTTAAATTTAACTAAAATAATTATAGTATATAAATAATATTGCTGGATTTTTAGCAATAATAATTAAACAAATAAATTAGATTTTAAAATTTTTAAAGCTTATTTGATAATTAGTGATCAGATTTTTGTAAATTTGATCTCAAAGTAGTAATACAAATTACCTGATTCTATTTTATTAGTAGAAATTTGGTGTATAATATTTAAATTTATCAAATATTATATTTTATAAATACTAAAAAGAAAATACAAAATTTAATTTACGAATATACTCAAAAAGAACCTATTCTATTATAATTATAAATTAATTTGTATTTACTACTTAGTAAAGAAGTTTATACATTTATAAAATACAAATATTTGATGATTTTAAATATAATGCACCATACACTCACTCTTGTGATTTATTTGGACCAATAATAATTAATAACTTATTAGACTTGATCGGTAAAACTCCTCCCTCAATTTATTATATTCGCTTCAATAAGGTAGTAATTTCATTTTAATCAGAATAATATTTGCGATTTTTAGTTTTTTAGTTAAAGTTGTAAAATTTTTAGAATATTAAATTATGACACGGAAAGAGAACCACTCAGAGGCACTTTCAAAATAAAAACTGGTCGCCATTACTTTCGCCGGGATCATATCTATCTGAATTTTTGGTACTAGTTTCTAATGTTTGTACATTTCTTTAATGTCTGGGCTAGATATTCTAACACTTCCATTTCAGCTGTATATTATTCTAAATTGTTATCATTTTCGAAATTTTTAAACTTTGAATATTTCTTTATAGAGATGGAAGCTAGAAATTAATGAAGAATTAGATTTAGTTCACATATAAGATTTTATTTAATATTCATACATAAAGAAACAATAAAGAATTTAATAATCATAAGAAACAATAACGATAAGTGTTTAACAGTTATGTATCAGTATGCATAAGCGATATTTAATAATCATGCACAATCGATTGACTTTACAAAAAAGTTGATTTGACTCAAGTTGCTATAGAAATTATTATCTGATAAGTATTTTCTCGAAAAAAATGATAATTACATATACATGTAATTGATGCAAATAATACTAAAACAGTGATTTTACGCCTAAAATAAATTTTATAGTTAATATGGAATAAGAAATCAATAAGGACGACCAGCTAGCCGTCGTAAGCGTAGCGTATTTACACATGCTTATATTATTCATAATTCATGTAGTTTTTATTTATATCAAATCAAAATTACAACAAAAAAGATCAATTAAATCTTTTTGAGGCGGTGTAAATTATACCGCCAGTTTTATATAAATCAACTTTTTATGTTTCTGTATAAATATCTGACAAACGCACTTTTATTCCCATAATTGTGTTTCTCCGTCATTATAACATTTTTTTTATAAAAAGAAAAATCAACAAAGATGTCAATTTCAAATTTTCTGGTTTACTCAGTCTCGATATTAATTTTTGGCTATTACTTGTTAACACGATATCATAATTCTTATGAGATTGAAGTATATAATTCGCTATTGTCTTCTTATTTCACGGTGGAGAGTTCAAACCAACTTTACAGGAATTTTTTACATATCACCGATTTACATCTAGATCCGTATTACCAAGTAAACGCAACATTTAGATCTCGATGTCATAAAAAATCGCGAAAAATCGGCATCAATAATAATATCGGAAATGAGATAGATTTGAAGAAGCCTGAACACATGAAGCATGGAATTTCAGGCGTTTGGGGTGGTCCTGCGTCTATTTGTGATACGCCAATGAGATTGATAAACGCTACGTTTGATTGGCTGAAACAAGAGTGGGCAAGCAAAATTGATTTTGTTCTTTGGACTGGAGATAATTCTAGGTAATCTTTCAAAAGACATCATGCATTACTTGACATTATGATTACTAAAAAAATTATTTACTTGAATTTTAGACATAACAACGATGACAAAATTCCACGTAAATACTCAGAAATCTTTCAAGTAAATCGTATAATTGCTTCAAAATTCCAAGAAACATTCTCAAGACCTGGCAAATATTCACCAGCAATGGTTCCAATAATACCGGTAATCGGTAACAACGATATCTACCCAAGTAACATAATTGCACATGGTCCAAACGATGCTCTTCAAAAACTAAGTGAAATTTGGTCCGCATTCATTCCGAAATCTGAAATGTCAACATTTCGTAAAGGAGGATACTATGCGACAGAAGTGATCAAGGATAAATTAATTGTTGTCTCGTTGAACACGTTATATTTCTTTCGACTGAATACGGCGGTTCAAGGTTGCGCAGATCAGTCACAACCAGGCACCGAACAAATCGAATGGTTAAATAACGTGCTACTGAAGGCCAAAAAACAACAGAAAAAAGTTTATTTGATTGGTCATGTGGCACCAACAAAGAAACATTATACAATAACATGTTGGAACAAGTACGGAAAATTGGCACAGAAATATCATGATGTTATTTTGGGACATTTCTTTGGGCATTCCAATGTGGACCACTTTTATTTTATTCGTACCACTAAAAAAGGAATTATTAAATCATTAGGTGAAAAATTCGATGATGACTCTGATTATGAAAACGAACTAGATAATGAGTCAGAATTTGAAACATATGAAGAGGATGAAGAAAAAATAATGTCTCCGTTTGATTATGAAAATGACGATGGATTCGTAAGCTCATTGAAAATTGAAAAGTTCACCAATCGATTGTTAAAGCATTATGCATCGTTGATTAACGATAACATAACTTTAAATCATTACAGTGTGATTCACGTGAATCCCTCCGTGATTCCAACGTTTTATCCAGCTGTACGAGTATTTCAGTATAAATCTGAAGATGATGAAATTGGATGTAGAAATAGCAAAAATAATGACGATAACTATCTCGTTCCTTTCAACTATGTGCAATACTTTGTGAATCTCACTCATGCTAATCTTGATCTATATTCAGCCAATCGACCCAACTTTCAAATAGAATATACGACCAGAGATGATTACAACATGACAGATTTATCAACTCATAGTTGGCTGAATTTGGCGAGAAGGATCATAAGAGATGCCAAAGAAGAGGGTCCGTTAATTAAAAAATTTAAGGATCATTTGGTAGTTTCGACTCGTGCGATGGTTAAAGAAAGGATGGGTTAATAAAGCAAAAATGAAGATAATTATCCGCTCATCTGTAATAAAAATAACGGTTACCAAATCTTTCACCAAGACTACAGAAGCGAATATATCATCGCAATCCCATTTTGTTCTTGTTTCTTTGGCAGATAGTGATTTCTTATGTTTGTGTTTGAGACAGCTAGATTTGAATGCGGCAACTCTTAATTGCAAACTAACTTAAAATGCTTAACTTTTATTTTCTGTAGTTTCTTTAATTCCTTTATCATCTTTGAACTAGATCCAATCGTAAATTGAAAAGAATAGAGTTAGCTAAAACAATGCTCATTTAATAAAAACGATATTTTATTTGAACATTTACAACTTTACAGTTTTCAACATTCTAATTTCATTTATTATAAAATAAACTTTAATTTTGTGTCGTAAACATTATTTTATAGTACCCTAGCCATGGCAAAAAAAAGTGTCGGATTATGTGATATTTTTGTATGTCCGGAAAAATTCTACGGTAATATAGGTTATTGTTAAAAGATTAATTTAAAGGTTAGGATTAGGGTTAATGATACCTGACGAAACTATTTTCATGATGACGAAACATTTCGTCACTTCATTCGTCAGACGAAACCCTTGACGA